TCAGTAAACTCGAATCGCTGATCTTAACCCATTTCACTCCCAACTTGACGTCTCCTCAGCAACGCGATATCATCCGTGACTCGGGATCGTGTCAACTCAATGGATCCAGCTCGCTTTCACCTCCGGTTGGAGTTCCCTCTTCGGGAATGGTCCAGTTACCAGATCCACCGGATCTGAGTGGGGTCGATCGCATCTCTGCCGGTAAATCTGTGTTGCCTCCTGTTGGAGTCTCTTCTCAAGAGATGTTCCAGTCACCAGATCCACGCGGTCTGAGTGGGGTTTTTCAAAACACTAACGGCACAGATCTTATGCTGGATGGATCTTCTCGCCTTCCCAATGGGCTCTCATCTCGCTTAACCAAGATGGGTTTTCCTGTTTTTGATGGAACGAGACTACGAGAATGGTTAGATCGCTGTGAGCAGTTCTTCAGTCTCGATGGTACTCCGCCGGAATTGAAGGTTCGCCTTGTTTCGGTACATATGCAAGGGAAAGCCTGGCAATGGCACAGCAACTACATGTCTACCAGGTTTGGTATCTTTCCCTCTTGGAATGACTATGTCGCTGCGATTTCTAAGCGGTTCAATAAGCTTTTTGATGATCCTCTGGCTGAACTGGTTGCTCTGAAGCAAGATAATGACTCTGTTGAAGTATATCTAGAGAAGTTTGAAACCGCCTCTTCAGGAATACCACTATCTGAGGCCCACACGTTGAGCATATTCCTCTCCAACATGGCTCCTCATCTTTCTCTCCATACACGACAGTTCCCGGTGACCAACGTTTCTGAGGCAGCTCGGATAGCCCAACTTCACGAATCTGCTCTCTTGTGTACTCCAGTTAAAACCTCAAGAGCTTCCTTCAATCCACACCACCAACGGTCCTCCGCTTATCAGTCTTATAAGTCCCCACCGTTGCTCCCACAGCCCTCTGAAGCACCAAAGGCTATCACATACAAGTCCGACTACTACCAGAAACCTCCACCTAAGACCACCACTTGGTATTACAACGAGATGCAAGAACGCCGTAACAAAGGTCTCTGCATGTTCTGTGAGGAGCCTTACACACCCGGACATCACCTCAAGCATAAGAAGGCCAGGATATCTATGATGGAGTGTGATGATGAGGAGTTCTCTGATGAGGAAGAGACCACCGAAGGGGTACAGGTGCAAGAAGTTGATGACTCCTCCGAGAAATCACCTGTGATTTCCGTTCATGCTCTCAGTGGCACCTCAACTTTTCACTGTATGCGAGTAGTAGGGGATTATGGCAAACGAAAGATCCACATTCTGGTTGATCACGAAAGCACCCACAATTTCCTGGATATCGCAATGGCCAAGGAACTTGGTTGCCTTTTAGAACAAATCAAACCAATGACGGTGGCAGCTGCAAATGGTAACCGTCTTCTCACCAGTTTCAAGTGTTCAGATTTCACTTGGGGAGTGCAGCGTTACACCTTTACTACAGAAGTGCGTACTTTACCCCTCGATTGTTGTGATTTGGTTCTCGGTGTTCAGTGGCTCTGTACTCTGGGACCAATCTTATGGGATTTTCTGAACCTTCGTATGGAATTTACTTATAATGGTATTCACCATAAACTCTGAGGAGTTACTAAATCCGGTTTGAAGGTTGTCAAGGGTGGTTGTTTGAACAAGCTGTTGCTGTAGGAACCTCAGATAGCTATGCTACAAGTTCGGGAATATGATGATTCCCCGTTTACACCCGACCTGTTGTTCTCCCACCTTTCAGCAGGAGAAACCGACCCCTCTGCGGATAGCTCACTACAGCCCCTCCTCAGTGAATACAGCGATCTATTTGAAGCACCTGCAACTCTCCCTTCTTTCCGAGATGGGTTTGATCACCACATCCCGCTTGAAGCCGGGGCTAACCCTGTCAACCAACGCCCGTACTGATATTCTTCCCTCCAAAAGGACGAGATTGATAAAATGGTCCGGGAAATGTTGAACCAAGGTATTATCCAATACAGCAACAGCCCGTATGCTTCTCCTGTGGTCCTGGTAAAGAAGAAAGATGGTACATGGCGATTATGTGTTGATTACAGAGGACTAAACAAACAGACGGTGAAGGACAAATACCCGATACCACTTCTGGAGGATCTGTTGGACGAGTTGGGTGGTTCTAAGTACTTCTCCAAGTTGGATTTACGGGCTGGGTTTAACCAACTGCGGATGCACCCTGATGATGTTTACAAGACCGCATTTAAAACTCATTCAGGCCATTATGAGTATCTGGTCATGCCCTTTGGGCTGACAAATGCCCCTTCCACTTTTCAGGGTCTGATGAATCATGTGTTTCGAGCTGTGACGCGCAAGTTCATCCTGGTTTTCTTTGATGATATTTTGGTCTACAGCTCCACTTAGGAATCCCACCTCAACCATCTTGCTGAAGTTTTCTCTATTCTACGTCGGAACCAGCTGTTCCTCAAGCCTTCAAAGTGTACGTTTGGAGCTACTGTTATCGAGTATTTGGGACACTTTATTTCAGAGGCAGGTGTGAGTACGGATCCTTCCAAGATCCAGAGCATTGCCCAATGGCCAGTTCCAACTTCTCAGAAGCAGCTAAGGAGTTTTCTTGGTTTGGCTAATTATTATCGCAGGTTTATTAAAGGGTATAGTGTTGTGGCACGTCCTCTAACCAGTTTGCTTAAGAAGGACGGATTCACTTGGAATTCTGAGGCTTCCACTGCCTTTGCGGCTCTCAAAACTGCCCTATCAACATCCCCTGTTCTTGCCCTGCCAGATTTTGACAAGCCTTTTGTGGTGGAAATGGATGCCTCTAACACTGGTATCGGTGCTGTCCTTATGCAGGATAATCACCCCATCTGTTACATTAGTAGAGCACTTGGACCGCGTCATCAGTCGCTCTCAGTGTACGAGAAGGAGCTTATGGCGGTAGTACACGCAGTGCAATCCTGGAACGCCTACTTAGCTCATCGCCCTTTCGTCATCAAGACCGATCAAAAGAGCCTCAAGTATCTGTTGGAGCAAAAAGTATCTACTCCGTTTCAGCAGATATGGCTCTCTAAACTCATGGGATATACTTATGAGATCCATTATAAACAAGGTAAGGAAAACTGTGCAGCTGATGCCTTGTCTCGGGTCACTGGGTCTGAGCTCCTCCATATCACACTCTCCCAGGCTCATCAGGAGTTTTACGACTCTGCAATTACTGTGGAAAACAGATCCATCTCTTCTTCGTATTATTACCGAGCTCGAGAATAACCCGCACTCTCATCCAGCATTCACATTCAGCAATGGCGAACTCCGCAGGAAAGGCAAGTTGGTTGTAGGTAACAACACTGAGGTCAAACTACACATTTTCAAGTGGCTTCATGACTCCGCTATAGGGGGGCACTCAGGTCGCGATGCAACTTTACAGCGAGTAAAGTCTCTATTTTACTGGCCAAGGATGAGTACAAAGGTTCAGAATTATGTGCAGAATTGTGCTGTATGTCAAAGGAACAAGAATGACTTATCAGCCAAACCAGGTCTTCTTAACCCCTTACCAATCCCTCTTGCTGTTTGGGAATCTATAAGCATGGATTTCATAGAGGGTCTCCCTCCTTCTGCGGGCAAACACTGTATACTGGTCGTCGTCGACAGGTTAAGTAAATATGCGCATTTTCTGCCTCTCTCTCATCCGTCACAGCAATGGATGTTGCGAAGCTCTACCTGGATCAGGTCTTCAAGTTACACGGGATGCCAAAGGATATAGTCAGTGATAGAGATCCCACTTTTCTGAGTGACACCTGGAAGGTAATGTTTCGTGTGCACGGCGTTGATCTGAAGTTTTCTACGGCGTACCACCCCCAGACGGATGGTCAGACCGAAGTTACCAACCGGACGCTCGAAACTTACCTACGCTGCATGACCTCAGACACACCTCATTCATGGAGCAAGTGGCTCTCCTGGGCAGAGTGGTGGTACAACACGACATTTCACTCCGCCATCAAAAGTACTCCTTTTGAAATCCTATACGGTCAGCCACCCCCTACTCACCTCCCTTATCTTCCGGGCGAGAGTTCCTCTGCTACTGTAGATCGTAACCTGCAAAAGCGAGAAGAGGTCATCAATCTTCTCAAATTCCACCTGCTCAGGGCTCAGAACAGAATGAAGCAGATTGCTGACTCTCATCGTTCAGACCGTGTGTTCAAAATCGGGGATTTTGTGTATCTTAAGCTCCAACCCTACAGACAGAACTCACTGAAAGGCAAAAGGGCACCGCATAAGCTATCCCCACGATTTTATGGTCCATTTCGTGTTCTCGATACTGTGGGACCAGCCGCTTACAAGCTGCAACTTCCTCCTGAGGCTGCTGTCCACCACACGTTTCATGTGAGTCAGCTCAAACTATGCCCAAATCCTCCTTCATCCGATCCTGCTCTGCCTCAATTTTGGGTCGACTTGGGCACTGATAAAACACCTGAAGCCATTCTGGAGAAGAAGATGGTTAAGCGTTAGAATACTGCAGTGACTAAGGTTCTTGTTCAGTGGAAGGGCTACCCTCCTAATCAAGCGACATGGGAGTTCTACAAAGACTTCATGGCGAAGTATCCAGAGTTTCAAACTTGAGGACAAGTTTGCTGTCGAGAGGGGAGTATTGATATCGGATTCTCCTTACTCTCCTTATCCACCTTTATGATTTATTGCTTGAATAAGTTTGGTTGAGAACCTTAGTAGTATTTCGGTTTAATTTCCTGGTTTTTATTGTACCGATCGCGTGTGGACTCGTGCGTGCGTATCTTGTCACACCTTATGTACCGCCTAACGGCCTTTTGCAGAAAGTAATCAGAATCATTTTTATTCCCAAATCTATCTTTTCTCTCTCATATCATCATCAACCTCTTTCCACCTGAATCTGGTGCTCCGAGACGATCTCTTCTCTTTCGTAGATCATCTTCTAGCCCTTATTCTCCTTTCCCCGAGCTCTCGGTGAGCTTCTGGATCGGAATCATCTATCCTACTCGATTTACTGTTTCATCGTAAGAGTCCGCCACCGCATTGCCTCGCCGCCACGATTACACCACGCCTCAGCACTGCCGGAGAGAAAACAGTAGAAAACCTCGAAACCACTATGCAACCAGCTCTCCAAGATGAAGCGCTACTTTAATCGAGCTAGAGATGCCCTCTCACATCGCCGGCTAGCAACGCCGGACGAAGGAGATGCTCGGAGATCAGATCTGATTTGTCGGCTAGGGTTTTTGCGAGAGAGAAAGAGAAGAAACGATTGTCTTAATAAAATCGAAACGGGCAAAGCTCGCGATATTTTTTTCTTTTGTTTCTTTTCGCCAATTTTACGGATATAAAGTTGCAACAGTGACCAAAGAATTATTTATGTAAGTATTTTAAAAGATTCGCATCTATTTAGAAATCAAATAACATCTCTCTCTCTCGCTCTGTCTCTATTAATTTCAAGCCTCGAGCAATCCATGAATAGGCCTTCTATTAACAACCCTACAATTAAACCTAACCTCACCAGGTCTCCCAGATTGCAAATCACCCATCTTCACCATCCCTTCTTCAAATGCTCTAAAGAACTCTCCTTGATCCTCACTAAACATCTTCACATACTCTCTCGTCTCTCTGTTCGTGTACAGAGTCTGGTCCGAGTTAAGAAACCCTCTCCCTGAAACCAAGTCTTTGAAGTACTGATTATCAAAAACCTGTGGCGTTGCGTCTAGATCTCCCGTCACGTTCTGGTCTACACTCAAAGGACAAAGCTTGTTAAGCTTCTTCTTGTAACCCGGTTCAAGAGCTGGATCCGGTTTACCTGACCCGGATTGGTTATAAAGCCTGAACATGATCGAAAAACACCGGCCTTGACCAATTGAGTGTGACCCAGATAAAGCCACCATGTCTTTAACAGAAAGATCGAATCTTTTGAAGAGATCAATCAAGAAAGTTGCGTTTGCTCTTGGACTCGGCATTACATCGTCTGAATCTTTCTGACTCGCCGTTAAACTGTCTTTCCTCCCTAACTTCACTTCCCAATCCGGTCCTCCTGTCTGGTTTTCAAGAACCAAAATTTACGAAACCGAACAAAAATCACCAAACCGGAGGAAATTGGAGAAAAAGTTGAGATTTTTACCAGAGCAACGGCGTCACGAGAAGCCATGATAATGATGTCGGCGCAAGAAACAGTAGCAGGACAAGCTCTCTCTAAAGCTTCTTTAATGTCGTCAACAACTTCGAAAGATCTCAGTGAATTGATGTTGGAAAGTGATAGTTTTTCACCAAGCATGTTCGGTGTGTCGTCAAGCAACAGAGACGCGTCACATCCCTGATTTGATTTATCATCGGAGAAATCAGAAGGTAAAAAAAAATCAAGAAGAGAGAGAGAGAGAAGAAAAGATTGGTATGATTTTACATTGATGAAACAGTCGTGAAATTGGAGACGCATAACGGAAGCGACGCTTCTTGCTTCTTTGATCATGGCTTTCTTCATTTCTCTTCTTACTATGGATTCAGCTTCAGGGCATGTTTCGCTGTAGAATCTTGGTTGGAGAGTTTCTCCGGTAACCACCGTCAAGAGAAGTAGGTAAAGGACAAGATGGGGAAGAAGAGGAGACATACTTTTTTCTAATTTTATAATAATATTTTTTTTTTCGTGTTTGGTTTTCAGTGATGGAAGAAGCAGACACTTTGTTGGTTTTATAAAGAATTTTTTTTTTGTGGGTTTCGAGAATGATTTCTAAATTCCTAATGGATTTTGTGTTAAGTGTGGTGGTGAGCTTCCCAAATGCTTAGGAAATTAAATGAGAGAAAACCCAGCAAAGGGTACAATCATCCCACAAAAAGGAAACATCAAAACCCAAAGGTAGTGTCCAAATGTCATTTTATAAATTTTATTAATTCCTTCTTATCTATTTGGTCCCAATGGATAATTAGTGTAGTCATTAAGACGATAAATGTAGTATTTGTTCAAACATTGTAAATAAACTGAGGAATGAATTAAAATTATTAATTAGTGGAGTATTTTAGTCTACTATAGTTATCCAAAAGAAGAAAGGATTACTCTGGGTTTGACTCGTTTGATTTTAAGAAAGTGGGAAAAAATTGGGAAATTTGTTTTTTTATTTGATTATAAAATAAAGAAAAAACAAGATGAAATAAAAGTAAGAGTAAATGAGATCTTACCTATTCGGGCACATCTCAGCGTCGCAAACATATTCATTTAATGACTTAATGTGGACGATTTGGAAGATATAATTGGAGGGCATGTATGGTATGCAAAGGACGAAATAAAAAAATATTGTTTGTCAAAAAAAGAAAATTCAATTCCTACTGGATGCACGCCAATGGGATCCTCCAATAAGTCGAGCAAAAGAGTATATACTTTTTTTTACATATGTAGTTCTAAAAATTTCTGACATTTGTCCACTTTAATTTTAATTTTATATTGGTTGGTTTCAACAAAACCTAGAGTAGTTTTCTTTTTCTACCATATTTCTGCTTAAAAGAGCTTCTATCAAATTAACAAATTATATAGCTGTGGAATTGGTTTTCGAGAATGATTTCTAAATTTCTAACGCTTTTCTTTAAATGGATTTTTTGTTAAGTGTGGTGGTGAGCTTCCCAAATGCCTAAGAAATCAAATGAGAGAAAACCCAGCAAAGGGTACAATCATCCCACAAAAGGAACATAAAAACCCAAATGTCGTTTCCAAATGTCATTTATAAATTTTTATTAATTCCTTCTTATCTATTTGGTCCCAATGAGTAATTAGTGTTGTTGTTTAGTATCCCCACACAAGGTTAATTCGGTAAATATAATTAGGTGGAGCTCGGAGATTCTTGTTAGATAGAAGTGAAGTCGATGTGGTCTTATCGAGGTTTTTTAAGCGAGATCTACTAAGCGAGGTAAGAGTTAGTGATCACAAGTTTCGAGTTTTTAGTTTTTATTTCAGATTACGGATCCCGTGATAAATAAAGTTACAGAGCTATTTATAGTGTTCAAATTAGGTTACATCTCGGTCAGATTAGCTTGGGCGGCCGGGTAGATAGACCTGACCGACCGTCTATCGGAATGTCGCGCTGGCGAGCTATTTCCTCTACGTCGACGTGGCGAGCTGTTTCATCAACATCGACGTGGCGAGCTGCTCCTTCGATACGGGAGGCTCATCTCTTCGAACGACCTCGTTTTGGCTTGGCGAATGGGCTCGTCCATTTTCGGTCTTGTTGGGCTTTTTGTATTTGCTAATGGGCCTGGTCGAAATTACAGAAAAGGAGGCTGTGCTCAGCCCACCTACAACAATTGTCCCCCCCAGTCCGTTGATGGAGATGTTACTTCGATATTCAACGCATCGAGTTGGAGACCTTCCAATTCTCTGGACCTCGATATCGATGTGGGGTCTTCGGAATCGAGGTGATACTTGGGAGTCGGGGAATGGCGTGTAATCCTTAACGTTGTCAACAAAGAATCGCAAAAAGCAACGGTCGACTTGGGAAATGAAGAGTCGCAAAAAGCAACGGTCGACTTGGGAAACGAAGGGTCGCGAGTGGAAGCGTGATTCGCGGGAAGCGAGTGGAATCCGCATCTAAATAAGATACTGGGAAGCGTCCGGATCATTATTATCTTCCTCGGTAACCGCTATTTTTTTCTTAATATATTCTGCTCTCCTTCTCTTCTTCTCATTTTCTTCTCCGTTTACAAAAGGTAATCTTGCTCTCCCTTTTCTCTAGAATTCCTTTCTCTCTCTAGAATTCATCCTTTTGCGATTTTATTTCTATTGTTATCCGACATCGAGTAATGTCTTTGGGGGGTCAGCGTATCAAGTCAAGCTTAGAGTCTGGCTCCAGATCCGATCAGGAAGCTTCTAGGAGTGCTAGCTCTTCTCCTGAGGTGTCTTTGAGGTCCGACACCCAATCGGATCGAGGAGAGTCTCCATTGGTCGAATTGGCGGATCGAGTCCGTTCCGACGGGACGTCTCCGCGAGGTGAAACTGTGGGTCTTCAAATAGTTCCTTTCGAGGAAGATCCACGTGATGGCGAGGCTACGGAGCACGCCGAGGAAGAGGTTGATGAAGGGGGCGAGGAAGAAGAACAAGGCGAGGAAGCTAGACCTCGACGAAAAGGTTCCAAGCGTAAAGGTGCTATCAAGAATCGCTTGGAAAATATTCCATCCCAGATGACGGCTCAGCACCTAGAGGAGTTTCGATCGCGATATGATTTTCGAGGCGAGCTGATGGCGCCGGGACCCGAAGATCGGCCATGGCAAGCGCCAGAGGGCTGGGTCACGCTTTACGAGGCATGGTTCAGTCTTTGTCATCTCTGGGTGCCCTTGCCGAGGTTGTTGACAGACTACGTCCATCGGAGGGGTATTGCTTTCTCGCAAATTCTCCCTGCGGGGATCCGGTTTATGGTTGCGGCTCTGTTATTTGGGAGCGAGGTTGGGGTCGATGTCGATTGGCGTTTCTTCGAGGAGATGACCAACGTACAAAAGAACAACTTGATCCCGGGCACGTACACGATAAAGGCCAGAAAGGATTGTTCCCTAGTATATCCTGTCAACAGAACACCAAGCTGGGAGGCGTTATTCTTTTACGCGAAGGTGGACGAGGCGTTGGTCGTCGATACGACCAAAGATTTTTGGAACGAGTGGAGCAAAAGCATCGGTAGATTGTCAGTTTGGTCATATTTCGAGTCTTCCCTTGTCTCTTACTGATGTTTCTTTGTCTTTTGCAGATCGAAACGTTCAGCTCGAAGCGTTCCCGGAGAATTATCACGCAAATCTTCAGAAGATCAGGGCTGTTGGGATACAACATTGGCCCGATATACATCGCCGAAGAATCGAGGCTGCCATCACCCGCATCACAAACGGTAAGTTTGATGTCTATTTTGAGTCGAGATTTTACATCGCCTAACATGTGCTTTTGTTTCAGCTAGCTGGAGGAGAGAAAATCTTCTAAGGGAGAGAGCGATTGCAATGGCTCCAATTCAGGTGAACCCGCCCAGCCTTGCTGCACGTCTGAAGGCTAAAAAGAGCGGGAACAAGGATCGGGGCCCTTCTGCTTCTCGGCCCGAGCATTCAGATCGGGCGCCGGTAGTTCAAGAGGAGGTCAAGGCAGTTTCCCAACGAGACGCAAACCTCGAGTCTGTTGCTGAAGGTGGGGTCGAGACTCAGATCGCTGAGGATCAAGTGGCAACTCGGCAAGCAGATGACGAAGCCGATGAAGCCACACAGTCGGCGAGGCGTGAGGAGAAGAAGCAAAAGAAGAAGAAGCACGAGGAGAAGAAACAGAGGAAAGAGGAGATCGAGGCCGATCGCCTTGCTGAGAAGGAAGAGGTTGCCAAGGCCAAGGCGAAAGAGAAAAGGAAGAAGCCATCTGGAGAGGGCAACGATGGCGGTCAAGTCGGAGGCGAGGAGGCGAGCAAATGAACTAAGGTCGATCCAGCTGGTGATGACAAGGCCAAGGAGATCGATTGGAGTTTTTCGTTCGAGTACCCCGAGTTGAGCAAACCGTTTGTCAACAACGTCGACAAATGTGCTGAGCTGTTCGGGATGATAAGGGGCTCCACCTCCGAGGTTCCTGCTGGCACCGATGGGGCTTTTAAGGACATGGCGAGCTTCGCCTTCAAGGTATGTCTGGAATTCTTAACACTTTTGTTCGTGGTCTATCTGTGAGGTCGACTAAAATAGTTCCTTTTATCATTATTTTTTTTTAGTTCATAGCGAGCTGCAACCGCGCAAGGGGACAGTACATGCGCTGGCTCCGAAATGGTGATGCTCGGCTGAAAAATGCCCAGGCTGCCGGTGAAAAGGCAGTGAAAGAGCGTGACATTTCTATCAAGCAGCGAAGTGTCGCCGAGGATAATTGGCAGAATATGAAAAGAAAAGCGGAGCAGCTGGATGCCGGGGTGAAGGAACTGACTGAGAAGATCGAGGCGATGAAGCAAGAGAATCTGGACTTAGTCAATAACCTTCAGCTGGTTAATGAGGCTAAGATCCAGGCTGAGAAGTCGATCGCTACCGAGGTTATCCGGGCAAAGCGACATGCTGAAGAAAGGATCGAGGCGGAGACGACTCGAATTTGGACGGATGCTGAGGCTAAGTATTCAGGTCGCATAGATCGACTGAGGACTCGCATCGCTCAACAAGAGGCGATCGAGCAAGTTAAGCTCGATCTCGTTCAAGCTCGAGGTACACTGGAGTGCCTCGATCTTTTGAAGGAGCAAGACTGCGAGCAAAAGCTGGAGAACCTCGGTCTTGCGGATCTCGAGGAGGGCGACTTGCCTCCGCCTTACCCTGAAACTCCGGATGGTGGTTCGGACCATGACGACGTCGAAGATCAAGAGAACCACGAGGACGGCACTCAGCCTGAAGAATAGATCTCATCTGCCTTTTCTCTCTTTGTTATCGCTTCTGTAATGACTCGACCTAATCTCATTAATGAATGTTCTTTTTTCTAAGTATTAGCTCGCAATTTAAATCGTAAAAGGACAACAGTTACGAGATAAAACTAAGCATAACAAAACTGATATGATCGTGACTAGCTCAGAGGAGGAAGAACCAGAGGTAGCTGGCAGGATTACTCGTTCCAGAGCTAGAGAGGTGGCTAAGGAGGCTCACGCACTCATAGCTGCAGAGGACATCGATCAACTGGAGGCTGGTGCTCACATCTTCAACATCTCTATCTTAAAGAATGAAGAACCCAGTAACAATGACTAGGTAACTTAGGTGATGATTCTGTACTCTTTTCCTTGGTGAGGATTTTGGAAGGCAAGGAGGTTCTTCTCCAAGGTTTTTAACGAGGCAGAAATCATTGCTACGTCGAGTTACTTAGAAGTTGTTACTAATGGGTAATAACGTGCAAAGTCACAATGACTTGTGCACTAGTGTTTTAGGCGCACCACTTAGGTTTAGAAGGGACGCCTCGCTGTTTTATTTTTAAATTAAACTTCTTGTTGTTTTATTTTCAAACGCTATGTAGTTTTGTTATTAGGGCTGCGATTTTCTCTCTTAGTCTATAAAAAGAGAAAATCGCCTAAGTCATATTCAGTGAAGAATTTTGATCAAACTTTTAACGTGTTCTTCTCTCTTTGATTTCTGAGAACTAAAAAAACTCTGAAATTCGAATCTCTTAAAAACTAATCTGTTTACAAGAGATTCTTCTATCCCTCCATTCCATCGATTCAACCATCATACTACCATCACCATTCCATCGGTTCTATCTCTTCCACCATACCATCGACTCGAGCCACCAGACCATCATCGTCATCCACTCGATCCGTTCTCCACCATCGTCACTCATCGTCGCGTTCATCACACCACCATCATAAGTCCATCGAATCCTCTCTAGCCTTTATTCTTCAGAGTAGATCACCTTGGATCATATCACGTGGTATCAGAGACAACTCTGAACCAAAGGCTGAGCAAAACTCTAACCCTAATCTATGTGCTTTAAATTTTTGTATCTGTGTTATTAGGGTTTAGCGAGTTCTGTGTTTGCGTGCATCGAACTGATTCTCTCTTTAATCGCTGTATCAAGTTTCGTATCATTCGTTTTGTTTTTGATATTTGCTAGATCGTGTTCGTCTCAAGTGTATTTCAAGTCGAGTTTGTTTTGCGTCGAGTCTTATCGCTTCGTATCGAATTTGGTAGATCGTGTCTAGGGTTTTGATTGTTTCGTTTTCGTTTAGATTTGATAAGAGTCCTTGAGTTGTCGTCTGCGTTTAGGTTGTTAAGAATCCGTGTATTTTCGGCTGTTTCGTTTAGATTTGATTAGAGAGTCTTATATTTTCGTTTGTTAGTTTAAAAAAAAAAAAATTCGTTAAAATTCTTTAGTTTCGTTAAGTTTGTTTTTAGATTTCGTGGGGATCGTTTAATTTTTTGTTATGATGAGTTTAGTTCTGCTGTTTTTGTGATTCCTTCTAGAACAAGTTACTGCGAGTTTTTTTTTTAAAAGTTTTTTTCAGGTATCATGGAGCTTTCGGCTGAGGCGATGGAAGCTCTGAACCGAGCAATGTCTCAACAAATTAAAGAAGCGAATCAAGCCATAGCAACTCAGCTCACACAACAAATCAAACAACTCAATGAAAAGTTCGAGACAAAGATGAATGATCTGCTCAAAGATCTCAGTGCAAGTGGAGAAGAGTCGTCTCAAACTCCAACTCCGTCGGAAGCAATGCGCTTAGCGAAGGGTAAAGGGCACATAGGATCTTCCTGGAAACTCCCACGCCACCCAACACCTTCTGAAGCCAGAACTAAAGCTAAGTCCAGCCGAAGCCAAATTGGGGGCAGAGAGACTACGTTTAATCCGAGGAGGAACCCTACTGGTGTAGATCGAGATGGCCCAAGGGTAGAACGCCAACACCACAGAGAGGAATATATTGCTGGGCATCGAGTTACCCTGGAATCAGACCCAGAATACTATGAGGAGGACGAAGCTTATGATCATAGCAGAGAAACTGTGAGACAAGATTGAGGACGAGGACATGGTCGAGATTATGATCCTCTACGTCAGCAGCTGCGTCACATCAAAATCCAGTATCCTCCTTTCCATGGAACTAATGATCCCGAAGCTTATCTAGATTGGGAAAGGAAGATGAAGTCTAATTTTCTGGTCCAAGGAACTTACGAGCTAACCAAGGTGAAGATTGCAGTTTCAGAATTTCATGTGTATGCGCTTCTATGGTGGGAGCAGTTGGGAGTCACCAGAAATCGCCTGAGGGAACTTCCGATTGCTACTTGGGATCAGCTTGTTATACAGATGAGGAAGAGATTCGTTCCAGCCCATCATCAGCGCGAAATACTCAACAAGCTCAAGCGCCTCGTCCAAGGTACGAAGTCTGTTCGAGATTACTATCAAGAATTGGAAACTTTGCTCATTCGTGCAGATTTACGAGAAGGAGAAGAGATGGTAATGTCGAGATTTCTTGGAGGACTTAACCGAGAAATTCAAGACAAGGTGGAACTTCAGGATTTCGCAGATATACAAGAGATGGTGCATAAGGCTGAATTGGTGGAATCTCAAGTCAAGAGGCAAAATTTCAAGTCCACATTCACGCCTAGTGTGCCTAAGCCTAAGGAGATCAGCAAACCAGCTTACTCCAGAGACATCAAACCACCCTCTACTGGAATTAAAGAAGACGTTAAAGCTGAGTTCAAACCAAGAAGTGGTACTTCTATCAGCAATGTGAGGTGTTTCAAATGTCAAGGAATAGGACACTACTCTCGAGATTGTCCAAACAAGAAGGTATTCTTGTTACAAGAGGGAGGAGAGATAGTTCCTCAAGAGGATTCAGAGGCCGAATATGAACTGGAGGAAGAGGAAGAAGCTGATGCCGTGGGCGAGATGCTGGTTGCCAGAAGGACTTTGAGTGTTCAGAGTCAAACTGAAGAGACTTGTCAGCGAGAGAATCTGTTTCATACGAGATGCTTCATTAAAGAAAAAGTTTGTAGCCTGATCATAGATTGAGGAAGTTGTACTAATGCTGCAAGTGAAGAGATGGTTAAGAAGCTCCAGCTCAAGACTATTCCTCATCCAAGACTGTATAAGCTTTAGTGGTTGAATGACAGTGGAGCCTTGACCGTATCACAGCAAGTCATGGTTTCTCTATCTATTGGGAAGTATGAAGATGAGATTCTATGTGATGTTATACCCATGGGTTCGAGTCATGTGTAGCTAGGCAGGCCGTGGCAATCAGATCGTAGGGTGATACACGACGGTTATACCAACAAGCACTCATTCGAGTTCAAAGGTCACAAAATTACCCTCCTACCTCTCACGCCTACCGAGATTTACCAGGATCAGATCCAGATGAAGCTCAAGGAGAAGGAGAAAGTCGCCAACAGCCTCTACATAAACCACAGTGAATTTTCTAAACTCTTTGATCCTGAAATGACTACTTTTATGTTTGTGTACAAGGAATCCCTTGTTAGTACTAACCCTTCACAGGAGCTTCCTAGTGTTATGTTTGAGATTTTTCAAGAATACAAGGACGTTTTTCCAGACGAAATTCCACCAGGGCTACCTCCAATTCGCGGAATAGAGCATCAGATCGACTTGGTACCAGGATCAGCCTTACCTAACAGGCCAGCATACCGAACCAATCCTGTAGAGACTAGGAGCTGCAGAAGCAAGTGGAAGAGCTGATGAGCAAGGGACATATCCGAGAAAGCTTGAGTCCATGTGCGGTTCCAGTTCTGTTGGTGCCAAAGAAAGATGGTTCCTGGAGGATGTGTGTAGACTGCCGAGCTATCAACAACATCACTGTGAAGTATAGGCATCCGATTCCAAGACTAGACGATATGTTGGATGAGCTCTGTGGATCGACAATCTTCTCTAAGATAGACTTGAAGAGTGGGTATCATCAGATCAGAATGAAGGAAGGGGATGAATGGAAGACGGCGTTCAAGACAAAGCAAGGACTCTACGAGTGGCTAGTTATGCCGTTTGGTCTCACCAATGCTCCCAGTACCTTCATGAGACTAATGAACCATGCCCTGAGACCATTCATTGGCGTGTTCGTAGTGGTTTACTTCGACGATATCCTCATCTACAGTAAAGGTTTGGAAGAACATCTAGATCTCATCAGATCGGTTCTTGATGTTCTTCACTCTCAATCTCTCTTTGCTAATTTATCTAAATGTTCATTCTGCACTAACGAAATTGTTTTCTTAGGCTTTGTAGTAAGTGCAGGAGGAGTTAAAGTAGATGAAGAGAAGATAAAAGCTATCAAGGAGTGGCCAACCCCCAAGAATATTGGAGAAGTCCGAAGTTTCCATGGCTTAGCAGGATTCTACAGGCGTTTTGTTCGTGATTTCAGCACCATAGCCGCGCCCTTAACAGAAGTAAACAAGAAAGACGTGGGGTTCAAGTGGGGAG